GTCCCCTGGAGAGTTCTCGGTTCTCCTGGCCTGCGCAGCTGGAGGGACGGTGCCGGCAGAAATCTGCAGGCTGTTCCTCTCTGATAGGCATCTGCAAGTGTTCGCTTTCCAGGACTCTGGCAGTGACTTGAATGTTTACATTGTTAATGCTCTGAGCACAGGTAATGGCAGATTAAAACATGACCAGCCTGACCAACAGAAACAAAGGTTTATTGATAAGGATCACCTATTCATGAGCGAAGACAAGGAGGCAGAGATGAGGCTCAGGGGATAGAGTTATTGGGGCAAAGAAAAGGAAAATAGGAAGGTAATGCTAGCCTTTAAAAAGTGGTTGATGGTAAGGAAAGAATCCCTTAGATCCTTTCTGGTCTTGTTGCTCTCATAAATCAGAAATATAATGAGATGAGTAATAGATACAGTGTTCGTACGGTTCAGGGTGTATTCTGCATTTACATGGAAAAATGAAAAGCAATGAGGCCGAAAGTTTTAGTAAAATTATATTCCTTGAATGAGAAAGCAGTCTGTATTCATATACTGATAATATGTAACTTTTATGTACTTCATTCCTCTAGTTTTGAGTATCCAATGTTCTTCTCTTTGGTTTTCTGCACATTCAGGCTCATTATTTTTGTTATCCTTCAAACTGGAAATACATTTTAAGCCCAGTTTCCAGAGATAATATTTGCACGTATATGTGCCATGGTATTTGCACACTTGCATACGTGAACATTGTGAATTGTGCTCCTCCTGGCAGAGGTATTGTGCTCACCTTGGGTTTGTTGTTAACTTTGCCTATAACCTGAGGGAGGGAGGGGTAGGGGAAGATTCCCTGAGACAAGTCATTTTGTGAATTTTAGCCTACTTAATTTTAAGAGCCTACAAATTATTTTCAGGGTTTCCGAAGCAACACTTTTCAGCAAATACATGTGCTCATTTTATCTGATTCCTGTTGTTTTGAAACCTGAAAGGCTTTTCGAACGTGCACGATAGTGAGTCAAGCCCTTTATTTCTGCACGGTTCATAGTGTTTTTGAATTTGTTTATATAAAACTGCTTATTTTTAAAGGTGTCTCATTTATTCTTTCCAGATGCAGACTGTTTCCAATAATGTTTGGCAAGTAGTATAGATCATAACTAATTCTTAAACATATATATTAGGAGTAAATCATAACATTAGCCATTGAACTATTTGGACAAGAAAGTAATAGAAATATATGTGGAATTTAATTTATTATAAATAATGTGAACTTCCTCTGAAATATTTCAAAGATTGGTTTTCAACATATATGTTTATGTTCATTTCCTGATTTTTATCATTATGTTACCATTTGGTAAGCCAGTGTCCTTGTTCTTAGGACGTGCACTTGAAAGTGTTTATAGGCACGCACATTTTGTCTGTAACTTCAAATGACTCGCAAATTATATACAAATCAATAACTGAACATGAAGGCAAATATATCCAGCCATGCATCGTTTAACAATGAAGATACATTCTGAGAAATGTGTCACTGGGTGATTTCATTATTATAGGAACATAGTAGAATATACTTACCAAACTTGATGGTATAGCCTGCTCCACACCCAGGCTGTGTGGTATAGCCCTTGCTCCCAGGCTACAAGCCTGCACATAGGTGTTCAGTGCTCTGTGCTCCTAAGACAGCTACAGTGACACTAGGCGACAGGAATTTTTCAGCTTCGTTATAATCTGATGGGACCAGTGTCCTGTTCACAGTCATTGACTGAAATGTCATTATGCAGCACATAACTGTATGTATACAGAGAGAGACACAAACACACACACTAAGGGAACATGAGAATTATAAAGCAAATATGGTACAACTTTAAAAATGGGAAATCTCGCCCTAGCTGGTTTGGCTCCATGGTTAGAGCATTGGCCTGCGGTCCAGAGAGACCTGGGTTCGGTTCCCGCTAAGGGCACGTACCTCGGTTGCAGTTTGTCCCCGGCCCTGGTTGGGTCGTGCGGGAGGCAGCCACTGGATGTGTCCCTTTCACATCGATGTTTCTCTCCCTCTCTCCCTTCCTCTCTCTCCCTCCCACTCTATCTGAACAAAAAAATGGAAAAATAATGTCCTCGGGTGAGGATTAAAAAAAAAAAGGAAATCTCTGTGGAGTGCACACTGGAATTCTTTATCCTTACAGGTTTTCTGTAAGACTTACATTATTTCAAAATGATTAAAACATATGTTTATATTAATGGTGAAATAGAAACTGTTGTCATCTTGTTTTCAGGGGATTTTGACCGTACGTATGAGAGGCCTTAAAATAATATGTCTTTTGCACTAATCAGTCCACTTCTGGGAATCTAGATGAAGGAAGTCATCATTGACATGTATACTGATGTCCGAGGAAAACGTTCATCACAGGATGTCACGTATCACAGCAGAGAAACAGCAGAATCTTCGCAGTCTCCTCAGTACACATCGGGGGGCTGGCTGTCTAAGGAGGATGTGCCTAGATATACATACTCTGATCTTTAAAACAAAGATGGCAGAAAAAACTTTTTGTTTTGGAAAATGTTCACAATATTAAAAATGAAAATAATCTAAATATACAGCAATTAGAGTGGCTTCCCAACTTCTTCTTGTGCTAAAATACATAGCACAACATTTATCATCTTAACCATTTTTAGGTGTACCGCTCAGCGTGTTAAATATGTTCATAATGTTGCACAACCATCACCACCCCCCACTCCATAGCCCTTTTTATTTGTAAAACTGACACTCTACACCCAGTCAACACTAACTTTCCCAGTTCCACCTTTCCCCAGGCCACCATTCTGCTTGTCTTCTTTATGATTCAGACTTCCCTGGGCCCCTCAAACAGTACAGTTGTACAGCATTTACCTTTTTGTGGCTTATTTCACTGAGCACAATGTCCTCAAGACTCATCCATGTTGTAGCACATGTCACAATTGCCTTCCTTTTGAAGGCTGAGTAATATTCCATGAATGTGTATACCACATGGTTCTTATCCACTCTTTGGTCAGTGGACACTCTGATTTCTTCATGATTTAGCTGTGATGAATAATGCTGCTCTGCACATGGGTGTGTAGAATGCCTTTCTGTAAACTATTTTATTCATTAACTGTTTTTGTCCATTGAAATGATACTCAAAGGCTATTATAAAGTGTTAGTAGTAATTTCTCTAAGTTGTGAGGTGGTGGTGATTTTATTTAGTTTAGTTAGTTGGTAATTTTTTTTATTTTCTTTATGGAACATGTAATGCTTTTGATTGGGGGGAAAAAAAGTCACATTGAGGGATAAGGTCCCCAGTCAAAGTGTTTAGGTAGCTATATAGTTAAAGGTGTACAGCAAAGTTGATAAAATACTTCTCTGTAGTGACCAAAGTTATAAATTACAAAAATACTATTTAAAATTTAGCAACAGTAATTTCTCTCTCAAGAGTATACGGTGCCCTTACTACGAATGGTGCTAATGTTAATACTATAGAAGTGCACCTGATTTTAGGGTTTAATCACTTGAGGTAATTGTAAAAACCAAAAAAAAAAAAAAAAAAATTGAATAAAAATCTCTGGGTATAGTCAGTAAATGTGCATTTGTAAAAACTGTCCAAATCATTCTTATTTCTATGGTGTTGAGAAATCATACTGTAGGTAAATCTGGTTTGTTGAGAACTGGAGTTAAAATGACATGAATAATATTTAATAATTTATTCTATGAAAGGATCACACAATGATTATTTGAGTAGAACATACCCATTCTTTTAAAATATAGTATTTATGCCCATCCAGTGTGGCTCAGTGGTTGAGCGTTGACCCATGCACCAAGAGGTCACCAGTTCAATTCCTGGTCAGGGCACATGCCCAGGTTGTGGGCTCGATCCCCAGTGGGGGGCATGCAGGAGGCGGCCAGTTGATGTTCTCTCTCATTGATGGTTCTCTCTCTCTCTCTTTCTCTCTCTTTCTCTCCTTCTCCCTTTCTCTCTCTCTAAAATCAATAAAGGAAAAAATAAATAAAATATAGTATTTATGAAAAATTCAGGTATGTGTTTTTGAAGGGCATCTTTGTTTAAAGTGATGTACATACATATATACTGTGTTTGGCAACATTTGAGGAATTCTGTTTCTTTGTTTTCATCAGAGGATGACTTTGTATTTTATGTACAGTGAATATGGATTTTTTAATACAAATTCATGATATAGAGCACTCCAGAAACCACACGAAGAAAGTCTTATCAACCCATCAGCTGGATCTGAAATAGAGATGAACTACCTAATTGTATACTGGGGCATTGATCCGTTTATTGCATTTGTTCATATTCTGTGCTTTTATCCTATGCCAAGCCCATTTCCTTCAGAGTACTCTTTTTTTTTTTATCCTCACCCGAGGATATTTTTCCATTTTTGTACAGATAGAGTGGGAGGGAGAGAGAGAGAAACATCGACGTGAAGGGACACATCGAGTGGCTGCCACCCGCACGACCAACCAGGGCCAGGGACAAATGAACCCCTTAGCGGGAAAGGGACCCGGGTCTCTCCGGACCGCAGGCCAACGCTCTAACCGCTGAGCCAAACTGGCCAGGGCTCCTTCAGAGTACTCTTGAATCAAGTGTCTATACCAGTGGTTCTCAACCTTTCTAATGCTGCGACCCTTTAATATATTTCCTTATGTTGTGGTGACCCCCAACCATAAAATTATTTTTGTTGCTACTTCATAACTAGTTTTGCTACTGTTATGTCTTAGGCGACCCCTGTGAAAGGGTCGTTTGACCCCCAAAGGGGTCACAACCCACAGGTTGAGAACCGCTGGTCTAGATGAACAATGATTCATGCTAGTTGTAATTATTTAATTTGGAACATATATGTATTTTAATTTTTTAAAATCAACTAGCAGATGGAAAATACCTCTCACATCTTGCATATGGAGCTTAGCAAGCAATTTTAGGAAAGAGTTGCTTCCTAATTTTTAGGTGAAAATATTCCCTGTTTTATGGTTCTCTTTGCTTTCTTTTTAATTTCAGATTTTGTTGATGGATCTATACACCACAAAGCCTTACTTATATCTGTGACTGTCTGTAGTTTGCTCTTGGTCCTTATCATCTTATTCTGTTACTTCAGGTAAGTTTCTAAAACGTAGATGTAGAATTCAGAGTTTTTAATATCTTTCTCATACTACCATATCCATTAACCCCCCCGCCCAGCTTCCTTTGACCTAATTAGATCTTAGATTTTACTGATAATATTAGATACTATTGATTAATATCTGTCCTAATGAAGCTATTAACAGATACCTATCTCATTTGTATTTCAGATGTCAAAACCACCCAGATAAATTTCACCCCTGTGGAAATTAAGGAACTAGTTGCTACTAAGTTTGATTTTAAGCAGAGAAATGAGCATGCTGAACTTAGATTGTTCTAGTATTCCTTATTTCCTGAGTTAACAATTTCCCTAGTGTTGAAAGATTTTTATAGATAATTTAAAGATGATTAAATTAAATTTAATTACTATATTAATGTCAAGTATGGTGGTTACAAATTACTTTTAGTCACCTAAAAACTTACTTTGTAGTTTGTGAAATAGCAAGGACATTTAAGTTCATATCACTTGCCTTTTATAATACCCATTTACAGTACTATTCTGCAAATTGGAGTTGATTCAAATAAATTTATTTCTAATACTGATTAAAAGTTTTTAAAGTTTAAATTTATTTCACTTATCTATATTATTGGTCTATATATTACCGTACATGGGAGAGTCAGCTATAATGTTTTTTTACACATTACCAAAATTTTGCATCTTTATTAATTAGGAAGCCCTTAACGGGAAAGATTTTAGAGAATGAATATGATGGAACTATACAAAATATTAACAGACCTTAGCCTGCTAGGAAACAATCAGTTGAAAGGAATAGAAAAGAAGAATTATAGGTGATTGAGACTGAGTAAAAACATGTAGTTTACTTTAAAATCACATTTTTTGAATATAATTATAATTTGTATTTTGGAAATCAGAACGGAGGGTAATAAATACTGAGCATTTAATCTTGCATTGTGTTTATGTGCTAAAATAAAACCTGCCACGATTAACATTTTCTCTGCCGTGTTTTGCCCGTATCATGGCAATTCAGTGTCTAAAATGATCCTTCTCTGTGCACCTTTAGGTATAAACGACAGGAAGCCAGACCGCGGTACAGCATTGGGTTAGAGCAGGACGAAACGTACATTCCTCCCGGAGAATCCCTGAAAGACCTAATTGAGCAGTCTCAGAGCTCGGGAAGTGGATCAGGCCTCCCTCTGCTGGTATGAGAAGAACATGCATCGAACTTAAAGGAATGTTTTCTGAGAGGAAAAGTCAATGAGTAAAGGGTTTCATTTTACTGAAACAGATAGGGCAGGGCGAAGAGGACGTTCTGTGCAGTCAGGTATCAGAGCTCAGATGTGGGGCTTCCTGATAACATTCGGACATATTGGGGGTGAGGTGATTGTTTTTTAATGTCAGTGTATGGTTACAATCCAGACCCTCAGACATTCTGATAAAGAGCAGATTAGAGAACATTAAACACAGGGCCATCTTCCCCCTGTTTTCAGTGAGGATAGTATTACTGCACTTTGGCCTGGCTTTTGAAGGCAAAAGTATTACAACCAACTGGGATCTGAGTACTTTTACAAGGGAAGAGGGCCGCGTTTCAGCTGCAGGGTTTAGGTTTCAGGGTGAAGTCCTGGCTTTTCCATTCAGGAGAGGTTCAATTTTCTGATGGTCAACACTGCCAGCCTTGAAGAAAATATATACCGAATCCAAGGCACTTGCTTTAATGAGAAAAACATTTTGTTCCTTTATGGACCAGGCGAAAAGATTGTTGGGACTCAGGATGGAAATAACAATTTTAATGAGAAATATTTTTCTTTATAAACTCCTAAGCTTGATTTTTCTAATCTTGATTGTCCAGTTCTAACTTCAGGTATCGTATTTACTTTATTCCTTAGGCCACCTTTTATTTAGTACTAGAAGTAATTTTTTTAAAAATCTCAAGCCAGGTATTTATCTTATTTTGGGGGGGACATACAAAAAGCTGTTGGTATTTAATGTGCACAACTTGTATACAACCTGAAGAGTTTGGCGATGGATGTATATCTATGGAACCATCACCACCATCTATGCCTAAGCATAGCCATCACCTCCAAAGGTTTCCCCATACCCTCTTTATTTATTATCACTGTGTGATAAGAGCCCTTGACATAAGATTTACTCTCTTAGCAAATTTTAGGATACAATCCACTGCTGTTAACTGTAGGCACTAACGGTCTCTGGGACTTAGTCATCTCCCATAACTGAAACTCTGTGCTGTTGACGGACACCTGCCCTGGAGGCAATAGACCAGACAGAATTGAAGCAGCCATTGTGACCACACTGATGCTACCTAGGATGCACGTTTTTCTTATGTGAAAATTCTTATGATCAAATTGTTTGATTTTTATTTTTGAAATTATTATATATATCAAATATAATTCTTATATTTAAAATAGTATTATTATACATTTTAAAAAGAAAAGTACAGGCATTGATTCCGTTTGATATTAATGAATCTGGTACTCATGCTCTTGGACTTGAAAACTGTTTGTTTTCCTCCTTCTAATGCATCTTTCTTATTACCATGGAGTTGCCTCTCTGAAATCTTTGACCTTGCTATGTTACTTCCCTGGATAAAACATTATAATATCCAGTAGCATTTATGGGTCTTCTATCTTAGCCTGGTATGCATGGCATACCCACCCCCCCTCCCCCACTTCCTGAACTCTAGCATCAATCAGCCTTGAGTAGTTGTTTCTCAAATACACTAAGTCCTCACTTGACGTCATCAATAGGCTCTGCAACTTGAAGTGAAATGACTTATAACAAAACCGGTTTCACCATAGGCTAATGGACATAAACAAGAGTTAAGTTCCTGTAGAACCTCACCAAGGTTATAATGAAACAACATTGAATGAAACAATAATAACTTTATGGGGAGTTTTTCAGACTTCTGGCCCCTGGCCTACTGCTCATGTTATCTCTGTGATAGCTCACCCCAGACTGTGCTAGTTTGTGTGTCTTCTGTAATAACATTTTGCTATAGTATTAATACAGCAGATTACAATACTGTTAACTTGCTGTTCTTATGTCTTTGTCTAAGAAAGACTTTCATTTCTTCAGGGTTGGAGATTACACTTTGTATCCTCCCAACTGATTAAAGGGGCTGTTCAATAATTTGTTTTAAAAGCTTTCAACTCCAGCTTTTAATATCTGTGAAAATACTATCTTATTTCTACAATCTAGATACTGAAAAACAGCATTTGGTTTATATTTATAAAAATGTTTAAGAGCAGCCAGATTGCCAGGGTTTAAATCCTGGCCAGACACTGGCCTTTACAAATATGATCTCATTTAATCCGTATAGCAATCCTGTGAAATAAGTAGTTCTAAAATATATGTCCCTGCATTACACATCGGGGACATAGGCCGAGATCGCCTGACCAGCTAGTGTGTGGAGAAGCCAGGATTCAAACCCGAATGATCTGCCTCTAGAATCTGTGCTTTGAATCCAACGTAAGTTAAATAAGACAAAGACAGACATTTGATAGGGGCAGGCTGGGAAGAGGATTCAATAAAACTAGTGAAGGAAAAATCTCAATATTACAGATTTAAGATCTTGTTTTAAGATAATGTAAAGTGTATAATCATTAGTATGCGAGTATCTCACCTTGACACTAATTTGTTATATATTTTATTAACATAAGGGGCAAATTCATGCCTTGTATATATTTGCCAAATATCTTTATATACAAATCCTTTAAGGAAGGAATATCATAGGAAGGTTGTAAGAATTAAGGTAGTTCGTGTGTCTCCCCATATATATTCATATATACATTTATTGAATACATGCTATGTATTCAATGAATAATAACATTATTTTTTATTTATACCCTATTTATTTGACCCTGCATGGAGAATGGGCATTTTGGTTGCTAATCAGTTGACCTTGGGATAAGATTATTCTGGATTATCTGGGTGGTCTCAATGTAATTACATGGTCCTTCAAATTTCAAAAACAAAACGAAACATTTGAAGTTTACTTGATGCAATGTATATATCTGCAAAGAATACATTTCAGTTTTCTAATCTGATCCTACAAGAGCTTTGTGCTAGGTTCTTTATATGTATGTCTCCCAAACTGAAAATTGTCACTGACCCTTGACCATTTCAGTTATGGTATTCTTAGAATACTTTCCTGTCAGCACAGACGGGCTAAAGATCATGCAGAAAGAGACACTTAACCCTGTTCCACTTACTCTCCCGTTTTCTTTCTCTTTGTCTCTGCTGTGCTCTCTACAGGTCTTCAGAGTTCTGGTAGTTAAATTTCTCTCCAGCTCTAATCTGTTGTTTTACTTATCCATTTTACCTTTTTTGAAGTGATAGTTCACTGCTCCACTTCAAAATACAGTTTTCATTAATTTTTGCTGCTTGCTTATTTTCCATCCCATCTTCTATTTCTTTGAGTATTTCATGTAGCGTTCCTTAGCTTCTGTATCTGAAACTCCAGCATCTGAAAGCTGAGGGGGTTAAACCTTCTTAGGCTGTTTCTCTTGACTCTCATTTATAGTGGCTGTTCCCTTTTTTCTTATTTTTCCTTTATTGATTTTAGAGAGAGAGGAAGGGGGTGAGAGAGAGAGAGAGAGAGAGAGAGAGAGATATGGAAACATCGATGAGAGGGAACATCGACTGGATGCCCCACGGTGAGGATTGGGCCCACAACCTGGGCATGTGCCCTGACCGGGAATTGAACCTGCAACCGCTTGGTGCATGGGTCGATGCTCAACCACTGAGCCACACGGGCCAGGAATGTTTCCTTTGTTTTAAGGTATTTATTCTGTGGGATATTCTCTTTCTTCCCATCCTTCTTGCCTTCTCTTGATCCCCCTTCCTACCCCCTTGAGGATTTCCTTCATTTTCTTGTGTCAGAGTAAAAACATCCAAACCTGTAGAGAATTTTTATAAAAGTGCATTTGAGCCAACAGAGGATATGCCTGGAAGCAAGAACCTAAACGGAGAAAAAAATGCTTCTCAGAATGGCAGTTTGCAGCTTCCTCTGTGCATTTGGAATGAAGGAGGAAAGAAGGAAGATCACTTGAATGTGGAGAGAGCAGGGCAGGGATTGGGTGCCGGAGAGTTAACAAGATTATGTGCTCTCTCGTGGGTGGTTTCTCTTCTGGGGTCTGAAAGGGGCATTTCAAAGGTGTGTTCACCAGGCTTGCTTAAGCGAAAGATAAATCCTTCACTAATTCCCCATACTTTGGTTTCCTTCTGATAGAGGAGGGGAAAAGCTATAATAAAGATGATAAAAAAGATGAAGAAGTTATATGCTTGGGGCTTGACTACTCACCATGACCTGCCCAGTTAGGAACTTATGATCACATTACCGTGTGAGGCCCGCTCCCTAGAACCCCTTTGTCCTTAGTTGTGAGCCCAATAATGCATTAGTTTCTTCTTTCTTATGTTTTGCCCATTATCCACCTATATGATGGCAAGAGTTCCTTCAAAGTATCCAGTGTCTCACCATGGTGGTGGGATGAAATTTTCTGTAAATGATTTCCTCAGGAGAGGGCTTGTGTTTGATTTTGCTGGGAGCCCTGGTGTGCTACCAACGCAGGACACATTTAGTGCCATCCAGGGGTCCCAGCTGGTGCGGAAGGTCTAAGTTCAGCTTCTCTAGTTCTGAAGGGATCGACGTTTAGATTCGGACCCCAGTGCTGGTGGTACTCGTAGCCGGACAGCAACCTGGCTTTAGTATATGCTTAGTGCTTATGTTCCCGGCTCTGGTGTCAGCTCGTTCCTCCCTCTTTTCTCCCTTCCCTCCCTCTTTGCTCCCTCTCTTCTTCCCTCCCCACTTGGAGATTTCCTTTATTTCTGTGTGTGTTCGATAGTGCAGGGTGGGGCAAAAGTAGGTTTACAGCAGCTAGTATGAAAAATAATACCACAATTAATAAATAATAATATAAGAATAGACTCTGTGTTTCACGTACTCACGAATATAAAACTACTTTTGCCCCATGCTGTACATTACAGTTGTGTTTTGTTGTGTTGTATCCAAGTGTGTGGTGCGTGTGTCCCGTCAGAGGGCCTGGTGCCCACCGCACGGTGGGAGGGGACGGTGTCCTAGTCTCCTCACTACTGTGAACCCATCCAGGTTTTTCTCACTATGACAATAATAGGTGGAATGAAATTGTCAATCATTTGGAAGCCATATTTCTAGCATTCAGAATCCGCAATCAGTTTTTAATTTCAAATCTTAGAAAGGGACAGCATTAACTAATAACTAAATACCACGAACTTGTCCGTATAAGAGGAAAACTGGCTAAATTATTTTAGGTACAGTCATTGTTTATTCTGTGGAGAAAAACAAACGGTTAAACGAATCTGTAGTGCTGTGGATATACGGACAGCGTGTTTTGGACTTAACAGGTCCAGAGGACGATAGCTAAGCAGATTCAGATGGTGAAGCAGATCGGAAAAGGCCGCTACGGGGAAGTGTGGATGGGCAAGTGGCGCGGCGAGAAGGTAGCGGTGAAGGTGTTCTTCACCACGGAGGAAGCCAGCTGGTTCCGAGAGACAGAAATCTATCAGACGGTGTTGATGAGGCACGAAAACATTCTGGGTGAGTCTGCACAGCAGCGTTCAGGCGTTTCGAGCTTTTCGCTGTTTTTCTGTTAACATCTGCATATTGACTCATCTGTCTAGACCTGTTGTGAAATATATAGACATTTGCTTCTGGGCCTGAGCCCAGGAACATCATAAGCTTCTAACCGGAGACCTCGCGGGGAATGGCTAAGGCACTTCTGTGAATGAATGGAGGGATGGAAGTGGGGTACTCGCCAGCATTGTTTCTTGAGAGACAGGAAGTGCAAATACGATACCAGCATTTCTTAGGGGTTTCTTAGGGATTTGAAGGACACGTTTTTGTTTAAATGTGGTGAAATGTTGTAAGAATTTCATCTGCAGGGTTTATTATATCCAGAGTTGATATGGATAATTAATTTTCTTCAGTTAGAAATTATCTGGATCATTCAGCTGCAGAGTGTAAGCTAATCAGAATTACTTTGTAAACAGCGTCTTCTGTATAACTGTAATACCATGAGCTCTACCCTGTTAACTTAAAACAATGTAAATATCAACACCTGATTCAAAAGAAATCATGTTTTTAGATACAAACTCTTAATGTGTCTCTACCCTTATTGTTTTGATGGCCTCTGATTGGTGTTAGTAATTCCATACTGTCAGAGGCGTAATCAGAAAACGGAATGAAATGCTAAACAGAAGGCACCTCCGACAAAGAATGATAGTTAAGAATATGAATTATGTGTGATACTACCCAGAAAACACTTAGCTCCAAACCTTTTTCCTTTTTTTCCTTTTAGGGTTCATTGCTGCAGATATCAAAGGGACCGGATCCTGGACCCAGTTGTACCTAATCACAGACTATCATGAAAACGGCTCCCTCTATGATTACTTGAAGTCCACCACCCTGGATATTCAGTCGATGCTGAAGTTGGCCTATTCTTCTGTCAGTGGCTTATGTCATTTACACACTGAAATCTTCAGCACGCAAGGCAAACCGGCCATCGCCCATCGAGATCTGAAAAGTAAGAACATCCTGGTGAAGAAAAATGGAACTTGTTGTATAGCTGACCTGGGCCTGGCTGTAAAATTTATTAGGTGAGTATCAAGGCGAACAAATACACTTTTATGACTCTTTTCTATCACTTTTTATAGATGATACATTTTGTAGTTTAGTGCTTCCAGGATAGTTAGTAGAGGAGGAGGTTTTTTTTGTTCTTGTTTCTTTTGTTGTTGTTTTTTATCAATTTTGACTTTTCTCAGGAGGGAAAAAGAAGAAATATTTTATTTGAAACACAGAGTGTTGGGGTCGTTTCTACTGTTTCTATGCTCATCTGTGTTTTGGCTTCAAAACAGTGTTTGTACGTTGGGTTGGTAGCCGTCATGACGCTATTTAGAAAAGAGGCAGCTAGTTAGTGTCTTAGATTAGGTCAGAACTCTGCATAACATTTTAAGTAGGAAAAGGTTTCAGGGAAGATCCACAGATTAGGTAGTGATAAAGGCAGTGTTTTTTATGTGATAGAAGAAAGATAACTGGCACATGTGTTTTGTGAGAAATGTTAGAAACAAATAAACAAAACACAGCCAGTATTCAGAACTGTATTACAATAGCTTACACGGTGACTATAACACCTGAACACATAAATCAGCAGGTGTCATAAAACAGGGACCTCAGACCCCAGGGGAGGGGGGAGGCCCCTTGGAGTGGCGGCAGTTGCTTGTACAGAATGGGGAGGAGAGTGCTCAGTGGCTGGGCTTTATTTCGCTCACCCTCTCTTCTCAGAGTCCTCCCTTTCATCTTGCAGACAGTTTAATGAGGAGAAATGGTTCCTCTGCTTTGAGAATAAAGCAAGCGAACAAAATGAGTTTGCAAACCACTGGCTTAGAGGGATCATCATCTAACCACCTTTTTGAAAACTAAATTTAGGCTTAGCCCTTATTAAATTGTTGGACCCTCTTGTGGTTTTATTTCCTCCCCCTCCCCCCAAAGATGACTCTGGAAAATGTAGGAAAGGGCACAAAGGAAAAACCATGGAGATGATTAAAAGTTTGGAAAATGAAACTCATGAGAAAGAACTAATGAATATGGATTTTCACCCAGAAGTGAAGATTGAGGAGTGGTTGAATAATAGGCCCCAAATTTAAGAAGGTCTTCCCCATAGGACAACACACTGACGTTCTTTAAAATAGCGCAGCAGGAAATGACTTGAACTGTAGATTTAAATTAGAAATGTGAACCTCCTGCCTATAAAGATTATTAAATTTCCTCTCTCTCTCGAATTCTTCTTCTTCTTTTTTTACCTACAACCTTTTACAAGTCTTTTTTACCAAAAAAAAATTTTTTCCCACTTTGCTTCTCAAATTAACAGCCTCTCACTTTTCCTCCCGTAAAATTTCTTGAGAGGTCCAAAGAATGATCTACTTTCACACGCCAGTAATTTGCAATATCTCGTCCTTTGGCTTCTGCTCCATTCCCTCCTGAGTCTCCTTCACTGAGGGACACCCTCTGTCTGCGGCCGCAAGACACTCTGATCCTCATGTCAGTGTTCACACCGCCAGGCTTTTCTTCCCCTTTTCCTGATGTGCCTTTTCGGTCCAGGTTCATCTTTCTCTCTAGAGCAGCTGTTCTCAACCTGTGGGTCGTGACCCCTTTGGGGGTCGAACGACCCTTTCACAGGGGTCGCCTAAGACCATCGGAAAACACATATTTCCGATGGTCTCAGGAACCCAGACACTGCTCCTCTATCCGTCTCCAGGGGGTCCGCCCACATGCAGATGCCCCACATACAGCATGAGGAACTGTATTCAAGGGTGGCGGCATAGGAAGGTTGAGAACCGCTGGTCTAGAGAGTCTGCTCTCTGTGCACTTCTTCAGTGTTTCCCACTGCTAGATTTCCTGCCCTATCTCCTTTTCCTTCCTAGTTTGGGTTGACCCATTCTCCATCGTGGGGTGCCTGGCACTGCCGTCGTTCCTGAAGGTTTTGGTTTGCACACTTGAATGAATTCTGTCTCCAGGACAGTCCCACTTGAACAGGGCCGGTTCGGTCCTCTCTAGCGTTTTGTTAGGTTCTGGAGTAAAGCATTTTGTAGTTGCTTCCTATTTCCATTTCCATGTGCTGCTGCCAGGCTTGTTTTCTCGAAGCATAATTTTGGACATCCTTATAGTTTCCTACGGCGTTGGGTGAAAATGTAGCTTTTATTCTGAACACTTTATACTTTCTCACATCTTCAGAGGTTTTTTTTTTTTCCTCACTCGAGGACATTTTTCCATTTTTTGTTCAGATAGAGCAGGAGGGAGAGAGAGGAAGAGAGAGAGAGAGAAACATCGATGTGAAGGGACACATCAAGTGGCTGCTACCCGCACGACCAACCAGGGCCGGGGACAAACTGCAACCGAGGTACATGCCCTTAGCGGGAACCGAACCCGGGTCTCTCTGTACCGCAGGCCGACGCTCCAACCGCTGAGCCAAACCGGCCAGGGCTCTTCAGAGGTTTTTAACATGCTTTTATCTTTTCCCGAATACCCAACATCCCCTCTTTTAGACAACTACTGAGGTAACTATTTAGATAACTGCGACTTCTCTGCACGGTTTCTCCCTTTGGGATGCCTACCCTTATTCCCTTACAAGTCTGACGTTAGTCTTCTCTGCACCCACGCGACGCTGTGCAAACTTCATGACAGTCTCACCTCGTTGAACAGTAACCACTGACTACTTAGCTGTCATTCACATTGGAGACTGAGCTCCATGAAGGTAAAACCCATGTTTCCTTGAAATTTGCATCTCCAGGTGCATTTCCGTGGTGGCCATTACTTAAGTACTGCTTCAGAATTTTGTGTAGTGGATAAATGAATGATGTCATGGGGACTATGGAATGAAGGAAAAAAGCACTGTTTCTTCACTCCAGAGATCCTACTCACTCTGGATTAAATCCATCTTTCTAGTTTTATATCCCAGAGAGTTTCCAGCTTGTATGTTTTTTATTTTTATGGACTTTCTAGAGAGAGAGGAAGGGAGAGAGAGATAGAAACACTGATATAAGACAGAAACATTGATTGGCCACCTCCTGCACATCCCCCACTGGGGATCAAGCCCGAAACCTGGGCATGTGCCCTGACCAGGAATCGAACCAGGACCTCTCAGTCCACAGAACAATGCTCAGTCCACTGAGACACACTGGCCAGGCCCTGTACACTTTCTTTAGCAAAACCCAACCACTTGCATTTTTTCCATAAACAGTCCACATTTGCCACTGCCTTGTTTTGGATTGCACGGTCTGTAGCTTGGAATGCCCTTGCTTCTCCGTGCACCTTAATCCGATCTCAGAGCTGCCTTTAAGTTATTTTGCTTGTCCCCCAGCTAGGAATACTGACATCATCTTTTCTACTTCTGTAGTAATTCCTGCCCCTTGATTGTTTGACATTATAATTATTTAGTACATGCCTCATCTATTTTACTGGTCAGTGGGCATCTTGAGAGCAGGGTCCCTGCCACATTAATTAATGTATTTCCCATTGACATGACATAGAGAGTTACCCATTACAGGTATTCCAACATTGTTTTGAATCAATAAATGTTGGCTTTATAAAAGTAATTGAGAACTCATCTTCTTTACAGACCTTAAAACAAATAATGAAGGTGAGTGTCTGTTCCACTTCTGAAAGTTAGTTCTGCGTAATGTAAGGGGGATACACTGAGTGACCTCTAGAATTTCACGCAAGCCATGATTCTAGGAAGTGGAGAGGAATCTTTTAAGTGATAGCACGGGATTTATTTGGCGCGATCCGAGGACGCTGGCCCGATGTGCAGCTCTGATGGCTGGGACCGCGCACGGCTCGGACCGAAGAGCGGCTGTGGCTGTCCACCGCTCCGGGCCTCGGTTCCCTCCTATTGAACGGAGGTTGCAGTCGATCAGTTCACATGTCCTTTTCATGGTTTTATTTTCTGTTTCAAAAGGACTTTGCCCTTCTCGGTTTTTGAGCCTCACTTGTAACCTTGCTTGATATGTTTGTCTTCCACTCTCTTTTCCTGTCTTGCCTGTTTTAGGGGTGTATGTCCATACATATGCACACACAGACATTTAGAGCATTTTATTACAAGTGAGGTCAATGCTCACCCAGTTTTTTTTTTTTTTTTAATCCTCACCCGAAGATATTTCTTCCATTGATTTTTTTTTTTTTTAGAGGGAGTGGAGGGGAGGGATGAGGACAAGGAGGGAGAGAGAAACATCAATGTGAGAGAAACATATTGATTGGTTGCCTTCAACCCAGGTGCGTGCCCTTGACCAGGAATGGAACCTGAGACCCCTCGGTCTGTGGGCTGATGCTCTAACCATGAGCCACACCAGCCAGGGCAAAGCTAACCTGGCCTTGAGTTCTTGGACTTCATACGTGAACTTCCTGTGAGAACTTAATCTTTACCCTGGTCTCTACATGGTCAGCATTCTCCCAGGCTTTTAAGTCATTTCTGGGAGGTTCCCAGGGAAGTTGAGAGCCACAGAGAGAGTGGATTGTGCTTTGGAGATTTCCTGCACATATACTTTTTCAAAAAATTTAATCCTGAATTGGTTTCTTCCCATACTGTCTTGGAAATGATGTAAGTAACAGTGCATTTCCTGGCCAGCAGAGATTTAATCCAGGTGATGCGGGGCAGACATTACCACTGCCCCAAATCTCTCCTGGGATGTGGAACCAGGACACGTGACATCCCTAGGAGGAACTTAACACAGCTTTTCACGTTTCACTCTGGAGGGTCCGCAACCCCTCTGGTACTTCGATGTCAGAATAATATATATGTTTTAGGGGGAAAATAAATCCTGGCGTAGGGCCTCTCAGGTATTAAATATAAATGGAAACACCTACATGAAAACCAGAGCGGAACCCACATCTCCCAACCGGCGATTGTCAGCCAGTCCAAGCGCGGAGCAGACAGCGACCCGGCCCAGAGGGCACTGCATTTCCTCCGACTCCTTCTGATGTCCCTGTTTTTAGCACCGTGTCTGGTTTGTGTACCTGGTGGTTTCTGCAAGAAAAGGGACACGGCTAAGTGACTTGCCAGCGTCACAGCACGAAGCTAATCAGTGGCTGAGACAGCTCTCCCAGCCAAGGTTTCTGCAACCCTATCCACCTCCTGTGGAAGACATTTCAGTTCTGAGGTTGTTTCTGAGAAACCTCGAGGTTTCTCAGCAGTTACTCAGAGAAGCAATGAAGGCTGTTGAAAAGTGCGGCCGGACCCCCCCCCCCCCTTTAGTTCACATCTGGGCGGAGCTGAGTGCAGCTCCTCAGTTCCGCAGCTGTTTATGTGCCGCCCAGGGAACCCTGAGGGTGTGCCCAGCCCCTTCTGCGGAGGGCTCCTGGGCATCCTTCCCACTCTGGGAGGTCACCAAAGGCTTTCCAAGAGGTGGCTCAGTATTATCTGGTGTGTGTCGTGTGGTTTATGTAAAACACCACTGCTCAGCCACAAGCAAAGCCACTGCCTCCCCCACATGTCTTTCCCCCCAACGCTGCTTTCATGGTTCTTAAAAGTGCAGTTCTTATTTTTTTAAATGTTTAGATGATGAAAGGTGTACATGTTTGTTTCTCCTCTTTCTCTGCTACACCCCCCCCTCCATTGTTCCTCTCAGTGACATCTAGCAGAGGCTCAGTGAGCTGGAGCCACCCGCACGGCAGCCAAGGCGAGATCCCCAGGCTGGCTCTCTTGGCCGCGGGCTCTGCGGGTGGCTTTCATGGGACTGGCCGCCTCCCTTCCGTGGATGGTGCAGGGGACTGTGCCCTGTGCTGAACAAAGCAGTGCCTTTTCCTTCATACATCACTTCCTGGAAGAACTCTTGCTGTGGATATATAATCAAGAGAGGCTTAATTGCCACGAAAAATATTTAATACAAAATAAGGTTAAGACAGACACTGTTTTTTTTTAAAAAATCCCTTTTATTCCCTGCCACCACTATAAAAATCTTTTGCCTGCCCTCAAATCTTTTGATATGACCCCGAGGGGTGAGGCATGCCTGTTCCGCGGAGTCCTGTGGGGAGCTCAGGTTCGGTCCTCAGACGCCCAGGATCCTAGCTAGGGCTCCACTTCCAGCCAGCCTGCGTCAAGAGGAGCTCTGTGGTTGCCTCTCGGGTGCTCCAGCCCTTGGTGCCCACGCGCCATCTAGGTACCAGGCCAGCCACGGGGACGCTGCAGGCAGCCCGCCCAGGGATAGGCAGTGAGGTGGTGCACTGTCTGCAGGATTAAAACCAATAATGCCCTAGCCAGTGGGTTGGAGCGTCATCCAAGCACCAGAAGGTTGTGGCTTAGGTTCGTGGTCAGGGCACATACCCAGGTTGCGGTGTGTGTGCAAGGCAACCGATCAATGTGTCTTTCTCTTACATCGATGTTGTTCTCTCTCTCTCCCTTCTCACCTCTCTCTCTCTTAAAAAAAAACAACAATTAAAAAACAACAAAAATGATAACAGTGACCACCATGTGCCCCAGTTCTAAACAGTAGCAGTGATGACAGGCATTTCCCAGCAGGGTGCAGTCTTCCACCCTCCCCTCCTCAGTAAGCCCTCCCGGCATCTGCAGAAGAGAAAAGGAACATCTTAGTTCTGTGTCTTTTCCTCTGTTCCCCCCTCTCCCGGCCGTTTTTCTTTGTCTCACAGCATCAAAGTCCTCGTCCCTTCCCCCTGCCTGAAGCAGTTGCCTTGAGAAGTGACTTGTGTGTCCTGGGTGAGAAGCGCCACCAGAGCGCACTCTTAGGAGGCCTTCGGTCATCAGCACAGACCTCTTCCTCCCCTGTGCTGGTGAGGGTTTTGGTTTGTTTTTTCATCATACCACTGTCATCCAGGGGACTTTGGTCAGAAATAGGAACTGTTTTTGTGCCTCTGTGCAGTCCTAGCTGAGGGCACTCTGCATTCTAAGCAGACGCCTGTGTTTTGGACAATCTGATACTTTATAGCATCGGATATGAATTCCTTATAATTAGCATGTTTGTGGTTTAAATGTAGTACTAAAGGCGTTTGCCATTAGTTCAAGAGTAATCTTTTGCAAAATCAATGTTTAACAAAATTCTGCTTATCCTTCGAGATATCAGTGATGTCTTACTTTATGATCTAGACCTAATAGAGATTTTTAGGTTTCTCCTTAAATTTTCCAAAGTGAAGTTTACTGTAAACAAACCTTTTCCTTCTTTCATTTAAAGTATATTATTTACCTACCACGTGCAAGGCGCTCTATGAACGCAGGTGGATCGGGGCTCTCCTCTTTAGGGACAAGCTAAATGGTTACGGCAGATGTTCAGGGCTGAGTTTACAGTCTTAGGTTGGAACCCAGATATTTGTTCAGATACTACAAAGTGAGGGTATTTATTCAGGTCCTACAAGGAAAGTCAGCTGTGGTTGGGAGAGCAAGGTGGAGCGCGCCAGTCATGTCCAGCGTTCCTGGCCTGCGTAGGAACTGGTTTTGGGGGGTTTGATGGACGTACACAATCCTTGATTTTATATTCTCCAGTGTTTGAAGGTTTAAGAGCTTAGAGATGCACTATATATGGTCTGGCCATCACAGTTCTCAGTACTATTATTAGATGAGAGACCCCTTCTAGTTCTCACGTAGATATTTCAATGTCACACATTCCGTTAGCTCTTCCTGACCTCCCCGATCCAAAGGAAGCACCAGGGGGCTGAGAGGAAGAATGGAAAGGGACCTCCTAAAGTCATGACCAGCTGCGGTCAGAGTACACCTTTGACCTGCACGCAGTCCTGTGGGGCCCATGCTGGCCGCTCTTGGTCTCCTTTCCCAGTACGTGTTCTGGGATATAATTTCGGCTCTTTGCCATCTTCTTAGCATCTGCGAAGCCTCCTGTTTGTTTCTCTGCGTAGAACTCGGAATTCTCTACCGGGGCCACCACCGTCTTTCTCTAATGATTCATAATTATAAGTTATAACACACACACACGCACAACACATCAATGAAATATCTACTGTGTGATCACAGGAGAGGTGTCAGTGGGTGGGAGAGGAGGGGATTTACTTGATAACTGAAGGTGGAGCTTTTGCAGCATCTTTCAAATCTGAATATTTTCCCGGTGTAGCATTCAGCCTCTTCTCTGCTCACTTGCCTTCCTTAACATTTACGACGTAGGTACACAGATGACAGTGTGGATTATACCCCGTGGGTAAGTACTGAGAATTCACGTTTTAACTTCTTTTCCTACTCAGAAAGGAGCCCAGAACACTGAGACTTACATTTACAGGTGGTGACAGTAAGCAATACCAGCTGCTTAGTTTCTTTCATTTAAAAATTTACACTTGCCCTGGCCGGTTTGGCTCAGTGGTTGGAGCGTTGACCTGCGGTCCAGAGAGTCCCGGGTTAGGTTCCTGCTAAGGGCACGTACCTCGGTTGTGGTTTGTCCCCGGCCCCAGTTGGGGTCATGTGTGTGGCGGCCGGTCGATGTGTCTCTCTCACATTGATGTTTCTCTCTCTCTCTCTTCTTCCCTTTCTCCCTCTTGCTGTATCTGGAGATGAATGCAAAAATGTCCTCGGGTGAGGATAAAAAAAAAAAATTAGAAAAGAAAACTTTACACTTTAACTTTTATTTTAGGAAAATAGAGTCGTAGCTCCCAGGGGCCTGTAGGTGCACTTGTGACATGTCTGCTGCGGTGGCTTTACATTAAGGATTATAGCTGGCAGTGAATTTAAGAAGGTTCTGAGAAAGACAATTTGGATTTGTAAGCTTTAGTGACTAAACAGTTTTGAGGTGTACAGAGAGAGGGACATTTGCCACCCTTTCCGTTTTCCCAGATGACAGTACATATTTTATGTTTTAGATGATAGAGATTGAGGCAATAAGATCAAACCAAGAGATCCCCCCTAGAAAGCTAGTAGTGTTTTGGTAAGTTGGGTATTGTCTGTGACCTTGCGTGATCAAGGTGATATTCGATATTTCTAACTCTTCAGTGCTGATACATACATGTCAGCGTTCGAGTCAGTGGATTCTTGGGTATCAGGAGATAGGAAGGTGTATGCAAGGTGTTCCACAGACTTCAGCTTAATGCGTTTTTTTGTACCTTTTCGGTTTTATAATTTCCTCGCCCGTCGGTACTGGGGTGTGTTGCTCTTCCTACCTCCACTCCTTTCTTGGAGGTAGTTCTTGTTACACCTCTGCTGTGTGCTTAGTCCTGTGCCGGCAGCATGAACACGGCTCGTCTCATTTCATCGGCACCTGTCAAGCAGTGGTCGTTTGACCCCCTGCAGACACGGGTTCAGATGGAGGCGGTGGTTCTCAGGTGCCCCTGCAGACGGGTCCGTCTCCACCAACTTCCTCCCAGTCTGCGGGGAGCAAGAACAAATGGTCTTGTGAAATTTTCACAAAGCTCAAGATATTTTATTCAGTTACTCCTTTCATCCTTTTATTAAACATATATGTTATTTAAAATAATAGCGATAGTAGAAAGCTTTTTTATGATTCTCTGCTTATCCACGTAAAACATTTGCAAGTCTTTGTTGGTTCTCCTCCCCTTGTACTTGTTGGTGGATCTGAAAGTCTCCTCACACTTGGCTTAAAAAATAGTGCCTCTCCCAGGCCCAGTGGCTCAGTGGGTTGGCTGTCATCCTGCACACCAGAAGGTCGTGGGTTCGATTCCTGTGCAGGACACACAGCTAGGTTGTGTGTTCGATCCCCAGTCAGGGTTTGTAATTGTTTCTCTCTCTGTCTCCCTTCCTCTCTCTCTCAAAATCAATAAAAACATATCCTCGAGTGAGGATTTAACTAAAACTAACTAACTAAATAAATAAGTAATGCTTCAAATAAACCAATTTGGCATGTACACAATCCAATTTTAAGAACAAAGTTATTTAAAAAGTGCAGGGAAGGTATTTTTTTAGACATTTAATTGATGTTGAGCAATTATGGAAAGTTTATATTTGAGCTAGCGGTGATGCAACCTTAAATGTTGCAGCTCCATTCCGATTGCCCTTTTCAGGGGTTTTATTCACCTGTGAATATTTAATAAGCCTTTCCCCAGGCAGTGGTGTTCCCCGAAGGGATACCCTTCCCATCCTCCCCACAGCCGCCTCAGGGCTTCCCCAGGACTGACGGCCCTCTTGTCTTTCCGTAGCGACACCAATGAAGTCGACATCCCGCCCAACACGCGCGTGGGCACCAAGCGCTACATGGCCCCCGAGGTGCTGGACGAGAGCCTGAACAGGAACCACTTTCAGTCGTACATCATGGCCGACATGTACAGCTTCGGGCTCATCCTCTGGGAGGTGACTCGGAGATGTGTGTCGGGAGGTGAGCAGCAGTGGTCCTGCCGGCCCGCGACAAGGCCTCTCGTCTTTCTGCTCGGAAAGCCACGTTTTGTCTGTAGAATCAAATTTTCTTTAATTGTGCCCTTTATCTCTGTTGACTCAGTCACGCTCCTCCCAGGAATGACACTACCCATCACAGAATTGTCTTTGAGGAATTCTAGACACATTTCAACTCCCTCGGCCTGTCCACATGTCACCTGCTCTGTTACGTGTGGTCCCTCTATGTTACTGCTCTCCTGAGCTCTCCCTCCCGCGGTTGCTTTATCAAGTCCCCTCTCTACCCTCCCAGATGCTGCTTTCCAGTCTGCTGGGCCCATGCCCAACTCCGGGGCCCCACTCCCTGTGGCTCCCTCTGCCCCGATGAAGAGACATACATGTGGGGTGGGTCACCCATTATTTAACTCCCCACCACCACTTCTTAACTTTCTGTAATACTTCCTCATAAAGCAATGTGAAAACGTCAGTTTTTATCCAAAGGAAATGAAAGCATAAGAATGTTATTATTGGTCCTGGTAATTTCTGACACACACAAGGTATCCCCAGTAAAACTACCTAAGACGACATCCTTAAATATCAGAGGTGTCATTAGTGTTGCTTGTAGGGTTTTGCTGGCTGCTGCGGACTTGGTCTCTTAGTAGATTCCCTTCTGGTGAGGAGCGGAGACCGAGGCTCTTCAGTACCCAGTAGCATGTTTCTGGTTCTGTTCATGGTTGGGTTGTTCAGGGACCCTGTGGCTGCTGCTCCCCCCATGAAGGCCGGTGGAACGCGCCCTGGAGAACGGAGCGTGCCCCAGAGTCTGGAAGCGCAGCCTGCACTTCACTAGCCCTGACACGTGTGTCTCTGAACTCTGACAGGTCACTGAGCCTGTCTTTGTTTCCGTTTTCCCATCTTAAGAGGGAGGCGAATTATTGCCTTGCCTCGGACAGTTGTGAGGTTTCAGTGACTGCAAAGAGAAGAACTGCTTGGCCCAGAGATCGTACTCTGTGTGTGTTAGCTGTTATTTTAAATTTTCATTTTGGTTGGTAGAGCCTCACCTTACGTGTAGCCTCCTTTTTACGTGGAGGGGAAATGGTTCATCAAGGCGTTCGAACGTTTGTGGAAAGACCGTCTTCCGTGAGGCGGTGCCTTCTGACCACTCGGGAGATTCTGAGCTTCTCTTAGCTTCAGTTAAACTAGAACATATTCCCTCTAAACTGAGGCAACGCTTCGTCCCAAAGGAAAGTTAATGTAGGATTTTTTTTCCTATTCACATACTGAGTCAATCTCCCATCATATCATGAAGAAGAAAAGGAGTAACCAAAATATAAATGAACTAACTGCCTGTGCCTTGATTTCATGTTTTGAAAGAATAAATAAGCATATTTTTGAATAATATGTTTATTCTTAAGATAGGTTTGTAGGGGTTGAAGGAATAGGAGAGTACATACTTTTCTAATTATGTTTCCTGAACATCTAAAGCAGTCAGCGCCCTAAGGAGCCGATATCTGAAAGCCCGTGTGCAGAATGTGGGAGGTATGGTTCTCAGCTTGAAAACAAGTGGGGGTGCCCTGGCTGGTGGGCTCAGTCGGCTGGGCATCGTCTTGTGCACGGAAAGGTTGTTGGTTCAATTCCCAGTTGGGCACATGCCAGGGTTGTGGGCTGGAGCCCTGGTAGGGGCGTGCAGGAGGCAATCGATCGATGTTAGGGTCTCACGTCAGTGTTTCTCTCTTCTCCCTTCCTCTCTCTCTGAAAATCAAATCAATAAACTGTTATTTAAAAACAACACATACACCCCTCCCCCCCCCCCCAAGCTGGAGTGTTAACACATTGCTTGCTAGGGCTGTTTTTGCCTCTGGAGATTTGAGAGGCACCAAAGTCCTCCCTTAGGTCTGAATGAGATTGATGTGTATTGTCCGACATGTGGGAGTCCCAGCTGTGCTCCAACCTGAGTTCAGCGGCCTCAGGTGAGCTACTTAATCTCTCAAAACCAGGTTTCTGCCCTGGCTGGTTTGGCTCAGTGGTCAGAGTGTCAGCCTGCGGACCAATGAGTCGTGGGTTTGATTTCGGTCAAGGGCATGTACCTCGGTTGTGGTTCGTCCCTGGCCCTGGTTGGGGTCGTGCAGGAGGCAGCCACTCGATGTGTCCCTTTCATGCCGTTGTTTCTCTTTCTCTCTCTCCCTCCCACTCAATCTGAACAAAAATGGGGAAAAAAAGTCCTCGAGTGAGGATAAAAAAAATAAGTTTCTACATCTCCTCAGTGTGGAAACTAATGCTGTCTCATAAGCATGTTTGTAAGAATGTGATCATGTATGTAAATGTTGAGTCCCTATGCTGTACACCTGAAACTAATAGAATACTGTGTGTCAACTGTACTTTTAATTTTTTAAAAAGGTATGGAACATACCTGACTTCAGGCCTGGTACATAACAGGCTCTCAACAACTGAATTATCTTTTCCCAAAGAGGCAAAGCACACAAAATTCTCCAGCACTTCTTTTTTTTATAATGAAAAGGATGAAAGTTTTGGGCTAGTCCTTCTAGTCTATGTAATTTTGGGTGAAGTAGACATAGCCAGATATACACCTTTCAAACTTTGGAAGACAAAGTTTTGAGGTTTCAGATCAATTAAATGGCAGCTAATAGGGACAGTTTGATAACATAATTAGACGATAAGGATAAATGAATAAGGCTTGCCGTTCAAAGACAGACTTTGATTAGTTGATGAGTGTAGATGATTGGCTCTGTGTCTGTTGTTCTGTATACGCCTCCCCCAGCGTCCAAGCCTCCGTCCAGCCAGGCGCTGGACCCAAACTGGGCACCGAGACAATAAAAGCTGAGGAAGATGAACAGTCTCTGCCCTGAAGATGTTTCCAGGGGCCCTGTCTTGAGAATTAGAAAGGGAGGAAGAACTGAAATGAAGTGATCATCTCCCATGTGTTAGACTCTTCGTTTCTGTGACCTCATATAGAGGTGACACACAATGGAAGGAAGCAGTAACACAGATAAGATGTACAGTGTTGCTCTGCGGTCCAGCAGGGACAGAACAAGGGGTGAGTTGGGATGGTCTAAGAAAACTTTGAGCCCTCTAGTCCTTTATAATCATATATGGGTTTGAGTTTACTTTTTACTTCATTTATTTATTTTTATTTTTTTTCTAATCCTCACCCAAGGACATTTTTCCATTCATTTTTGGAGAAAGTGGGAGAGAGGGAGGGAGGGAGAAAGAGAGAGGCATATCGATTGGCTGCCTCCTGCACGACCCTGACCCGGGCTGGGGATCAAACTCACAAGCCACGCATGTGCCCTTGACTGAAATTGAACCCGTGACCCTTTGGTCCGTGGGCCAACGCTCTAACCACTGAGCATAACACAGACTCGAGATTTCGTCAGAAGTAAATCCCCAGTGCATTTAATGATATAGAGGACAGTCTGCCAACCCCTAGTAAGGCACAAGGCAGTGATATTTCTGTAAAAGGCGGTTTAGGACAGGGAGCAAGGGTGCTCCAGGAAGGGTGTTCAGGGCAGCCTCCTCTGAGGAGAGTCTTCTAATTATGAGGAGTTAATAAGATGGAGTTGGAAAGAAACCACAAGTAGCCTGATGTTTTAAAGGATAAGAGGAAAAAGGTAGAAATTAGATACTAGGAAAAATGAGATGGAATTGATCATGATAAGTGCCATTTCCCTAAAGATGACATAGATTTTTGTTTTTCACCCTTCTTTTAACAATACACATTTTTTCTTTCTAATAATAATGTAGTCCTTGTAGATGATTTGGATAACTACAGAGAATTTAAAGAAGAAAATAAAAGTCAAATAGTCCTTGTGCCTAAAAAATCACGGTTAATGTTTTTAGGTGTGTATAGTTCTCCTAATTTTAAAGGTGCAAAAATGCATTCTTATGATTAAGCAGAAAAAAATGTAAATGTGACATTTCGTTCAAGTAGAATACACTGCCAAATTTATTATGAGGTTCATAATCTCATACTGCAGTAATAGAAACAATCACGTATTATACAGTGTGAGTTTGGGGTATGTCTGCCAAATAGGCATTGAGATTTAATATAGATTTTTAAAAATTTGGCATACAAGAGCCTATATAAAATTGGAAATAAGTTTGAGATGCTTATTTTACTTAGCTTTTGGAAATTAGAAAAAAAAAAAAAAAAGACTTGAAGACCTATAATAATATTTTATTAGGCTTTCTATTCATTTGAAAAATTAGATTAAATGTCATTTGGCACATTTTTTTCAAGATTTATTTTGCTCTATTTCAACCTGAACTTGTCCTTTTTTTTTTAATCTTCACTCGAGGATATTTTTCCACTGAGTTTTTTCAGACAGAGTGGAAGGGAGAGAGGGAGGGAGAGAGAGAGAAACATCGATGTGAGAGAGACACATTGATTGATTGCCTGCTGCAACCCCCCCGACCTGTAGCTGAGGTATGTGCCCTTGACCGGGAATCAAACCTGAGACTCTTTGGTCCAAGGCCTGATGTTCTACCCACTGAGCCAAACCAGCCAGGGCTGAACTTGTCTTTAGTACGGATAGAACTTTTTTGGGAAACAGTTTGTATGTTAGATTTTTATTTTCATTACACAGAAAAAAATAGAATAATAAAACTGTATTTCCAGGTACAGTGGAAGAATACCAGCTTCCCTATCATGACCTGGTGCCCAGTGACCCCTCTTACGAGGACATGCGAGAGGTGGTGTGCATCAAGAAGCTCCGCCCCTCGTTCCCCAGCCGGTGGAGTGGCGATGAGGTAAGGCTTGCGGAAGCCTCATGCTATAGAACTTTACCCTTTTGGTCAAAATTCCAAATCCTCATTACAGGAGTTCCTCTTCCTCTTTCTTTTGCTGGTGATGGTAATAATGTCTCACTGAATAATTTATCTGGTGCTAAGTACAGTGTTGTAAATGGTCTGTTCGTTTTTTTCTACTTTGATTTTGCCAAAATATATCGAGTGGGTTAACATTTAGCCAGCATAACAGGTAACATTATTTCATTTATTTGTGATCTCCTGACATTTGCATGAAGACTATAGTTCTCTCTGTGTGTGTTTTTTAAGCATCATGAATTTTCTCTGTGAAAAACCCGTGTACAATATTCTCTCATTTTGGTGGGAGAAAAGATTGGCATCTGAAAAATGCCATTTCCATACATAGCAGTGATTCAGGTTGACCTCGTTGAGATGCCTGATGACGCTGTGGGTCTTTGTTCATCAGGACGATGAGACGTGATTTGATCTGAGTTCACTTGCAGCTAGGCTGTACGGATCTCGGGGTGACACCTAAAATAGGTCTGCGAAGAAGCTGTTCAAGAGGAGGAACTGAGGGGCGGGCCTTGCCCCTCCCTACTCATCTGCTGCACGCCCTCTCCATCGTCCTCTAAGCGGTCACCTCCCAGTCCTGGCGCGCTCTGGCAGGCTGGACACTCAGAGGTGTGTTGGCCGCATCGAACACGTGCCGGAGCCAGTGCAAACCCATGGGCAGAGCACTGCGTACGAAGTCGTCCTTCACTGTTCACTGCGTTGAAAACTAACTAACCTTCAGTTCATTGGCTTTGTGTCTAGTTACTGAAATGCTAAATAATACATATGTTTTCCAATGAGCTATGCAGAAATCTGTATGAGATGCTGGAGTTACATTACTTTGGAACTGGTTATGGGCATTGGTATTACCCCAGATTCTTTCACTGAGGATTTTTAATGAAGTGAAATTGCGCTTTTCAACAGGAAGACCGATCGCTGATGCAGGAGGAAGTTTTAGCAGGGCTCTGCACAGGTCATCCGTCTTGTTAAACGCGACAGTGCGATGCTATTATTGTAGCAGATGGTCGTGATTTAGGAATAACCATGTTTGTTTGAACAGTATGGAATTAGATAAAAGATTTAAGCTGAACAAGTGTTAGAAACAAACTGGGAATGTGAATTGGAATACAGGTTCCCCATGAATTTTTGTATTTATTTAATACTGACGTCAAAGACACTCTTCTTCAGTCAGCAATACCACTTGCTTGCTCCTATCAGAAGGGTAACAAAATCTGTTTTAGTCATTTACAATTTGCATGAAAATCATTTTTGTGAGATGTTGTCTACATAGTTGTAAAGGTAGCTTTTAAAAATATAGTCAAGCCCTGGCCAGTTTGGCTCAGCGGTTAGAGCGTCGGCCTGCGGTCCCGAGACCCGGTTTGGTTCCCACTAAGGGCACGTACCTCAGTTGCAGTTTGTCCCTGGCCCTGGTTGGGTCGTGTGGGTGGCAACCACTTGATGTGTCCCTTTCACGTCGATGTTTCTCTCTCTCTCTCTCTCTCTCTCCCTCCCTCTCCCTCTCCCTCTCCCTCTCCCTCTCTTCCTTTCTCTCCCTCCCGCTCTACGAACAAAAAACGAAAATATGTCCTTGGGTGAGGATAAAAAAAATATATATATATATATAGTCAAACTTCAGAAACTCAAAATTAAAAGCCAGATATCAAGGACCAGCCTGGCACATAATAAACACACGTCTCTAATGTTACTCCCGTTGTCCTTGTCCCTCCCTGCAGTGTCTAAGGCAGATGGGGAAGCTGATGACGGAGTGCTGGGCTCAGAACCCTGCGTCCAGACTGACAGCCCTGCGTGTGAAGAAGACGCTGGCCAAGATGTCAGAGTCCCAGGACATTAAACTCTGATGTGAGGAGGGAAAAACAAAAAACAAACAAAAAAAAAGCAAAAAGCAAAAAAAAAAAAAAAATTTTTTTTAAAAGCATCACTGGAGAAAGCCAGATCTTCTTATCTTTGTGGGCAGAGCAAAAAGTGTTCCTGAAGCTCCCACAGTACAAGCTTCGAACAGCCCTGCTTCCCAGTGGGTTCAGCCTCACCTCTCAGGGAGCAGCCGGACAAACACAGACGTTCCCAGAAACACGGATTCATCGTGTCTGTAGGAGGTTAAAACCGCTCGGGTACCTTGTTTAAGACATGGTGCATATTGCTTTCTAAGAAAGCCCTGTATTTTCGGATTGCCCCCCACCCCCCCTCTTTTTTTTTTCAAAAGATGCTTTAATTTTGCCAAAATAGAACAAATAATTTAGATGTTTTAAGGTTTTTACTATTATAGTTTAAATAATAACAATGAAAGTTCTTCCCAGAAATTCTGCTGGAAAGTAAATTAAAATAGTATTTCCATGGGTAACATTTTGTTGCACTCGACAAACCAAAAGACAGTCTGTGAAGAGCCCCGCCCTGCCTCCTCAGACCACTCGGCCAGCCCCGCTCGGAGGGGCTGCCACAGCAATGTGAACGCACCTGGGTACAAACACCGCCTGTCTGGACCGCATTTGGGGATTCCTGCAGGTGACCTTTTGCAGCTTCAGAGGATATGGAACAAATGAAGATTTTATGTGATTCTATTAGGAGTAAGTGTCAATGTTCTTCAGAACCACTTTGTGTTTCTGATTCTGTTAGGCATTTCTTTCATGGCCAAACCTCTTCCTTTTCATTAAACACAAACAAGGCTTTTTTTTTTTTAATGTGCAGAGAATTGACCCATGCATGCTTTTGATCTCTCAAAGGGAAGGATCAATATTAAATAAAATTGCCATCAGTTGTGTTGAAGACCACGTGCTTTAAAACAGGAATAATTAGCTCTTGTGTTGGAAGAAGATCATGTCAGTGAGGTAGAGGATGAGGTCAGGGTGCATGGGGCTTGTTTCTTACACATGCAGAAGAGCTGGTCTCAGAAGCACAGGGGGAAATGATGCACACCTTACTTTGTGTAGATCAAACCAGTTTATTTTTGTTGTCTGAGTTAAGGGAAGGAGAGGAAGCAGATGTCAGGTTAATTTAACTAAATTTTCATTTAAAAATGGGTAACTATATCCTCCAAATGGGACAACAGAGGAGAGTTAGTAGAGGCCACAGAATATTATGGCTGCTGTGATTTATTTTTCTAGAATAAATACGGATCACGTATGTACATCTTAGGAATGCTGACTCTATTTTATTTTATTCTCATGATGTTCAGTTCACTTTTTAATTTATTATTTTTGCATTCTCTGTGGCACTTGTATAAAACATCTCTTCACCCACTCAGTTCTGCGGGGTTTTCACTTTTGAGAAACATGAATCCAATCATTGACGGGGCCAATATTCCTGAGCAACAGGAACATAAAATTCAAAATTGTACACATCCCCCTCATCTTTATTCATTTATATGTCCTTACTGTGGTTTTCTTTTGCTACTTAGAAATTCTGTAATTGAGTAAGGAATTGGGAAGTACCCTCCCCACACCCTTAAACAAAAAGACATTCCTTCTAGAATCCTGCAGGGGGCAGTGTTTTATAACACATTTCCACCGCTTGGTGAGTGAAGGAGGGAAACTTTTGAAAATTTGACAGCTGCACGAAAAATGAGAAGAGATTTTTCTCACTTCTGAAGTAAGCTCGCAGCTGGTGACTTGTTCATTCAGAAAACATCCTAGCAGAGAGTGGTTGAGCTGTGCTTACAGTCTGGGAGAACCATGAGAAGAAACACAGTGTTCTATATTCAGGATTCATGTCCCAATGCTTCATAGCCATTTTTTGTTTGTAACAAAGAAAGAAGACTTCTTCTTCTTCTTTTTTTTTTTTTTATTCTTGAATAGGAACAAAATTTTGTTTTTTTTATTAGAAGATTTAAACAGTTGATTCCAAATATAATTTTAATCAGAATGCTGTTTTTGGTGGTGGTAAAATAACTTGAATGGCAATGTAACAGTTCCTTTCTCCTGTGTCAAATCGTAGTCTGTGTGATAGTTTAGAAGAAATATGTGGCTAGACCTAAGTGTAATAATCATCTGAGCCATGGAGAGAAACTTCAGTACCTCTAATCAAATCATCTGCAAACAAATAAGTAAGCATTTATGCCTGTTAACTAGGGACATATTTTAGTTTCTTGATTTTTCCTAAATTTAAGTGAGGTTGGACTTACTTCTTAGATAAAAATGTGTGTTCTTTTTGGTCAGTTTTTATACGTGATAAGTGCAAATCAAAATATTTTTGTGGGGAAGTGATGATTTGAAAGTAAACTAGATTTCTAGGAAGGTGTTGGTTCTAATGAAGAATAGCAGGACATTTCTTCTATATTATTTGTTTAGTTGCTTTGGAAAAATCAATAGATTACTTCTAATTCTCAATCTGATTTACTTCTTATGAACATTTAAAAATTATTCCTGAGATACTTCAGAAGACCTGTTTAGTTATTATAATCTTTCAATGCAACAAGAATTTATTTATGAATAGATTTTTCTCTGTCTTCCCAAAGTTCACCCTACTTAGGGAATCCTAAATTGTTCTTAAAGAGACTACCTACTCACTTCCAAATAATTCTTTTTGATTTTTAAATTTCTAGTAGCTCAGAAGTGAATTGTATTTTATTTTATTTTTTATTTTACATTTCTATAGAATAAGTGGGAATCTGGAAATTAATAACGTAGTTGATTTCTTACTATCAGGACTCTTTTTAAAGACTAAGATTTTATTCTAGTCGCTACCCTACCCCCCCAAAGGAATCCTAAAATAATAGTTGCTAGCTAATATAAGTTTTGTATGCTAAGATGTTCAGGTTTATAGTTTATTATGTGTATATATATTATATAAATTTATATGTTTATATAAATATTATGTTCAGCTTGGAGTCTGGCACAACTCCATTTTGTGGATTAGAGAGTAAAATATTATGGATGATAAAGTACTAAATGAAACATAATATTTATTTATAAAAGTGTGTAGATTGTTAAATCACAAATAACAGTGCTGTGAGGAAGACAGGCCTTTGACCTCCTGGAAAGCAGCTCTCAAAAGTCACCAATGGCCACCCTTTCTGTTCTCGAAGCGTCAGGCTTCTCAGCAAACAGGCTGAGATGTTACTGACGGGCTCCTTTGTTCGGTTGTCGAGTGGTCAGAGAAAGCGAGGCCTGGAGCACAGCTGCGTGTCCGTCCCCGGCGCCGTGCGTAGTCCGCAGAAGCTGCGGTGTTTGATGTCGGGGTCCGCTCCAGTCCTTCGGTGTGGAGGTGGGAAGGCGCTGTGAGAAGCACAGTTTTTAAACTTGAATTGTTCTGTGGTTATATCTCCTTAGCAAACTCCGTCCCACGCAGTGGCAGTGAACAAAATAGCATCAGAAGTGAGTTTATGTAGCAATTAGGATTCCTCGTGGAAAGCAAAGCAAACAATGCCATATTTTTTTTTGGAGAAGAGTCGGCAGATATAAAAAGGGTTTTGTTGTCTGTTTCAAAAGAAGACTAGTGTGTGTTCTTTTGGGGAACCAGTGCCTTACTGAATTTGTATATACTGTAACTGTTCAGGACTAGGGAACAAACAACTGTATTGTCTTTGATACAAATTGTATATGGCTTTGTTTGAACATTCCCCCAAATAAAATGGTTTCATTCTCCCCTTGGAAAGAACGTGTCTGTTGTCTTCAAGTTGTGCCTTTTCTGTGTCTTTGAAACTGTCACATGGTAACAGGTGGGCGGGCAATGGAGAGTGACAGGTAAGAGTATACGCTTGGTGGCCCGAGGGCAGTGGGCTGATGGCTTCTGTTTTCTCCGTAAGTGGGAGGCACGGCCATTGGTTGAGAGCGAGGGGAGTCAGTGGTTTAGAGAAGTGAGGACCGCGCTGTGGGAAGTTAGAGCCGCACGGTTGTGGCCATGAGGAGGGCCCGGCTAGGACAGCTGCTGTGTGGCGTAGTGGCCGCGAGTGTGGCCTCTGTTCCGCCAGACAGCCCGTTTGGGGCTCCAGGCTAACAGTCCCATGGGTGAGTGACAGTAGGCATGTTTAAAAGAAATCTTTTTTTTTTTTCTTTATTGATTTTAGAGAGAGAAGAAGTGAGAGGGAGAGATAGAAACATCAATTCTCCACCTCCTGCATGTCCCCCACTGGGGATCGGGCCCACAACCTGGGCATGTGCTCTGACCGGGAATTGAACCGGCGACCTCTTGGTGCACGGGTCAGCGCTCAACCACTGAGCCACGTTGGCCGGAGAGCAGGCATGTTTTGACCTCTCGAATACTGTGTTTCTTCTCCTTGAAGATGGACTCGCGCTAGTGTCTACTACGTGAAGTGGTTTGGGACATGAAATAGCCCATGTACCAAGCATGAGGCGAGCGCTCCTCCATTAGCTATTGTGACAGATCCGCAATGCCACTTTGCCACGTGGTTTTAGGTTCCATCCTGTCAGCACCCATCGCAGGTGCGGAGATGGCAGTAGGCGGGCTCAGGCAGGGCTGCGGTTCACCGGGCTTGTGGAGCACTGGGCCGGAAAGTAGAGGTTGTCATCATCAAGGGCCTGGGGGACATGCTCCAGACCAGGGACAGGATTAAAGAGGAGCAGCTGGTGGGCCCGCGGACACGGCCCCCTGCCGGGGTTGAGGTGGTACACGGGTAGCTTCGGAGACAGGCCCGTGGTCAGAAGGAAGATTCAAAGAGGAAGCAGCGAGACTAAGCACAAGACCGAGGGCGAGGTCGCCGGGGTGGGTGATTTCGTGGACAAGAGTACTGGTGAGGAAAGAGCGGCCCCAAAACTCTGGGTCTGTCTGTGGATTTTGAAGCCCCCACCCGCCCAGGTGGTGGCACAGGGACCGACACAGAGGGAGGCCAGGTCTCGGAAGTCCGAGGGACCTCACTCCGACAGGGCTTCATTCGGGGCCCTCGGAGCCTTGACTTGGGAGGG